CCAAACTCTTCTGGAAAGAGGTTGGAAGGACCCGAAGTGGTGCGACGGCCTTAAGAATGAACAAAGTACTTTTGAGAACCAATGACGTCCTCTCAGAAAAATCGGACATCATGCAGCGATGGAGCGAATTTTATAGAGAAATGTATGCGTGTGATGATCTTAGTGAGGGATTCGGGTGTGACGCCGTGACTGGTACGCCAGACCCGGACCTCGATGACACTGAGGTCATCAGTATGAAAGAGATTGAACGTGCGATTCGAAGTTTGAAATGTGGTAAGGCTGCGGTACTAGACAGAGTTACTGCTGAAATGGTCAAGTATGGTGGGCCTCGCGTCTGGGACAGCTTTCATCTGCTGTGCAATTTGTGTTGGCGGACGGGGGATGTCCCGGATGATTGGCGATCCGCAGTCATTGTGCCTTTATATAAAGGTAAAGGTTCACATTTTGACTGCGGGTGCTATCGGGCGATCAGCTTGACCAGTTTAGTAAGTAAAGTTTACTCGAAGGTTTTGACACGTAGGATGCAAGGGAAATCGGATAGATTTCTATGGGAGGCACAATGCGGATTTAGACCTGGAAGAGGATGCACGGATCAAATGTTTTCTCTCCGCATGATCACGGAAAAACTTCTGGCGGCTAACCAGAGGATGGAACCTTTTGTGGATCTTGAGCATTTGATAAGGTTGTAAGGAAGAAAATGTGGGAACTGTTGCCGGGGTATGGTGTGGATGGTCGATTGCTAAGGGCTGTGCAGTCACTTTACTGTGACTGTAAAGCCTGTGTGCGGGTAGGGCATGACCTGTCACCCATTTTTAGCGTCCAAACGGGCGTAAAAAAGAATTGTGTCATGTATTCCTGGCTGTTCATACTGTAGTTCGACAGCTGTTTACAGAAGCTGAAAGATAGCTGTTTGGGTGTGAAATTGGGTGACACTAAAGTAAATTGTCTGCTGTATGCTGAAGATGCAGTGCTTATTGCATCATCAGAGGCAAAACTGCAGGCATTAGTAACGTGTATGATAGAGGAATGTGAAATTAAAGGTCTCCGTTTGAATGCTAATAAAACTAAGGTTCTGTTATTTGAAAGGGACGAAGAGAGAACGAAGTGTGAAATATGGGTAAATCAGGAATGTCTAAAACAGGTAAATGAAATTGTATACTTGGCGAGTGCTTTCAGCCGGAATGGAATATGTGATTTAGATGTGGACAGGCGTGTCGCTGCCGGGAACAAAGTCAATGGTGCCCTGACTGCGTTAGTCAAAAGGCAAGGCGTAGTGAAGAGTGCACGCCTTGCAATATATAACGCAGTGTTGGTACCGACTTTGTTATATGGCAGCGAAACCTGGGTATGCCAGAAGATGCATAAAAGCAAGTTGAATGCAGTGGAGATGCGATCTCTTCATAAAATGTGCGGCGTTACCGTGGCCGACCAAAAGCGAAACGAAGAGATTCGCAATATGGCAGGTTTGAAAGATGACCTTATCACAAAAATTGATAAGGGCGTGCTTCGATGGTTTGGGCACTTTGAGCGAATGAGTGAAGACCGAATGGTGAAGAAAATATATAGCGCGAAAGTAAATATTAAAAGGTGTCGAGGTAGACCGAGACTAACTTTCGAAGACCATGTGAGCAAATTGCTGGAAGAGGGGAGGGTCAAGAGTACTCGGATACCTAGACGTGCATGTATGAAGAAGATAATGAATCTGAAAGAAGCGAAAGAGGTATGTAAGGATCGTGACACTTGGCGATCTGTTCTCTCTGGCTACCCCGTCAGGGATTGTGTGTGAAGATAAGTAAGTAAGTAATATGTTATGGTTTCATTCACTTATTCCTAACGATTGGAAAGAAGATTGTTTGATACCCATTTTAAAGCCTGGAGAAAAACCTCACATTGCAGAATCTTACAGACCTTATAGCACTTACATCCTGTATGGGTAAAATATTTGAGCAACTTATAAAATCTAGATTAGAATTTTATCTAGAAAAAAAAAATGTCTTTTACCATCAAATCAATTTGGATTCAGACGCCGTAAGTCATCTAGAGAAAGTATTGCATTTCTACATTTAGACATTTTTAAAGCTATGGAAAATAATGAAATATTAATTAGTATATTCTTTGACATTGTTGGTGCATTTAATAACGTCAATCTTCATGTACTCGCCGCAGAGTTGAGATCTTTGGCTATTCCTGAAAAAATTGTAAAATGGATATTTAACTTTTTACATGAAAGAAGAGTTTTTGCTAAAGTTAATAATAATAATACAATTATTGGTCCTAGGCTCAGTTATAAAGGTGTTTGTCAAGGAGGAATATTAAGTCCTCTTATCTTTATTTTATACATATTTAAATTAAACAATATTTTAGGATCAAATGTTACTAATTTACAATATGCAGATGATTTGGTCATATACGTCTCAGGAGCAAATGTCAAAAACTTGGTAAGCATTTTAAATGAGGCTTTAAAGAAATTGCACATTTACTTTTCATACTTAAATTTAGATATTAGTACTGAGAAAAGTAAAGTTGTAATATTTAATAAAATTTGTCCATTTAATACTAGAATAATTTATAATAATACTTTTTTTTACAAATAATTTATCTTGGACCAAATACGTGAGTTCTATTACAGACAGAGCTTCTAAGGCCTTTAATGTATTAAAAGCTTTGGCTAGTACTAACTGGGGAGCTGATCCAGAAATATTATTAATGTTATATGTCTTTGGTGAGGAGCCATTTTGAGTATGGCTTCCTTTGTTTTGCATCAAATTAAAAACTAGTAAACAAATTAGATAATATACAAAATAAGAATTTAAGACTTATTATTACCGGCTCTATGAGAACAACTCTTATTGTTTCTTTTCAGGCTGAATGTCTTACTCCTCCTATCTTACTTAGGTTTATATATCTGAACTTAAGGTTTTATTAAATATCAATTCTTTGTCACATCATCCTCTTTTTCAAAAAGTATTATTTTACTATAATAGTATGTCTCCTATATCTAACTCAGCTCCATATATACTCCATGACTTTCATGAAGTGATACGATATGATGAACAATATAATATTCACAAAAGCACACATACTTGGCCTTGTTATAAGGGGAATTATGAAAGTAAATTCAGTGATATACACATAAATATTAATAAAAAATTGAAAAGAAAAGAAGAGGTTTATGAACTTATATCTACATATGATGAATATCGAGAAATTTACACAGATGGTTCAAAAGTTGAAAATAAAGTAGCCTGTGCATTTTACATACCTCATCTGAAAACTGGACGTGGCCTTTCCATTCCTGCATCAGCAAGCATATACACTGCCGAATGTTATGCTGTCTTAATCGCTCTTAAATATATAGAAGAACACCCACATGTATCTAATAAATGGTTACTGATCTCTGATAGCATGTCTTGAAGGCACTGAAGGCAAGAGCTTTAGATGCTAAAACGTCTTTCATCATATATGAAATCAAAAGTTTGTGGTGGAAATTGAAAAAAAATAATTTGGAAGTAAAATTTATATGGACTCCGTCACATATTGGGGTTCAAGAAAATGAAAGAGCAGACCATTTAGCTAAAAGTATAGTTACAGCTGATATTGAAAGGATAACCGATGTTGCAATACCACATACAGATTTATATTCAATTTTAAAAGAAGAATGGAAAATGCAATGGAATGCTGTTTTAGAGTCAGGAAAAGGTCGTTGGTATGCATCAATTAATTCAGAATTAAGTATTCCTTGGTTTTCTCGCAACGAGAGATATCATAGCAGAAAATTTTATACAATAATGTGCAGACTTAGATTTGGCCACTATCGACTGAACGCTCATCTTTCCAGGATGAGAATAGTAGCATCTGCAACATGCGATTTCTGCGATACAGAAGCAGATCAGACTACAGAACATATAATATTTAACTGTCCAGCGTACGCCATTGAAAGATTGCTACTCATTGAAAAACTTATACAAGTTTATGAAAACTCAGAAAGCGTCCCGCGTGCCCTGCAAGATGTTCTTAGGAATACTAAGACATATTTAGCACTTTGCAATTTTATTCATAATACTGTAAAAGAAATATGGTATCCCTGTTTTTGAAAATATTGGATTGACAAATCTACACGGATTGAAACCTACAAAGAATATAATATAAAGAAGACTTGGCTTTAGCCTTTACGGGTTTTTGAAAATATGAAGAATTAAAGAAAATAAGACTTGACTTCGGCCTTTATGAATTTTGAAGAGATTTAAAGAAGAAAAATAAAACCTGCCGGGCTATTCACAATCGTCTCGGAAAGCGAAATCGACTCGGGATTCGATAACTTCTCGCACCGAAACCAATAAACGCTATTCACATTTAACTTTCGGATAAAGGTCACTTAGATACATCCCATAACTATTGTATCGTCATTTAGTTACATGCATTTACGAATTTTGTAGATAAATAGGCCTGAACAAAAACATAAGGCAATATTTAGGTGTTAGCCATTGTCATAGGTCTCGTTTCACAAAGCAGCATATATATATATAAGCATATATATAATAAAAATATATAAGTCGATTTCTCTTTCCGAGACGATTGTGAATAGCCCGGCTGGTGGAACCAGCCTTTACACTTTAAAATTCTATATATTCAAAATAAAAAAGACAAGGCTGTATGGCTTAGTTCCATTGCCTGCTCTCTCGAGCAAATAATAAAAACAACAACAACAACATTCGCCTGACTGATTGTTTTGTAAAAACTTTTGTTGTTTTGGTCGAGTAGTAGATAGAGGATTGATAAGTCTAAAAAAACCTAAGGCACCCTATAATAGTGTTCTGTGCACCCTACCTTCTGTGCCTCAAAGAGTGCGCTAGTACTCCTTATTAGTTTGTCTTCAAAGAGTACAGAAATCATTCCTATTACTACCACTACCAACAGATAAACAGATTTAAAGCAAGCTACTACTAATTCTAATAACGATTGTAATCATATTTTAATAAATATTATTCTAAGTTCAGATAATGTACAGGGACGTGGAATTGCGTAAATTACCGGCAGGTACTCTTTGTGACGTTATCAACACCCTAGAAACAAATAATGATTGGAAAACAGTTATGACTTTTATACCTAAGAATCCTAAAAGTAACAACTTCGAACCAAAATACAATGAAGAACACGTAAGGTATGTCGTAGTTGTATTTTGCACTCATTACAGCCTATCAAAAGTCCACTATTGATTATAGGCTTTCTTCATAAATAAGGGAAAATGTTTGCCATAGTTGCCACGTTTGCAAGGCGGGCTCGCAACTGTTTTTTTTATAATTTTAAGCTGTTATTAGGAAAGTGTATTTAATTTACAATGTATTATGATTTTACTACATGAATAATTATTTTGTGTTTACTTGCATTAATTATTTTTAAGACTCATTGAAGAGTATGCGAGATTATGTAATAGGCAATGTGCAGAAATATTGCTAGATGAATGGGGAACTTCAGGACGAATCAGGCCAACATTGTCAACGCTAAAAGAAATTGTACTTAAGGCAAATATTTTAAAAGCTGCGGATCAGATAGCTGCATTACTTGAAGGTATGTCTTAATCATTTTTGCTGAGGTACATATACTTATTAGCCTAAGCATATATTTGTAAGTAAACAACCTTAATTGTTATTAATTGCTTGAAGTACCTCTATTAGTATATATGATTAAAAATACAATAATAATGTAGCTGAACACTACTCAACACTTTTTAGCCAATAATTTATAAATACAGACTATGCACACACTCATGTTCAGACTTATGTTCACAAATAAAAACAAATACACAAAATTGTCATAATTACCTTGTAACTTCTTCATGTTAATTAATTGACTCAAACTGAACATTTACCTAGTTTGTACATTTATTTTTGGAGAAGACAGAGTAACACACAATATGAGACAGGGACTTCAGTCATAGATATTTGTAGTTATTGGTGAAATAAAGCTGCTATTATTATTATGAAATATTCTTAGAATATTCTAGTTTAGTTCGGATACATTTAAATAGATAAGATATTACAATAATGAATAATATACATTAAAATGAAATAACAATATTTTTTCTCTTTTTTTGTATCTTTATTCTACACATCGGACATAAAACTTATAAACTCTTAGAACTATTTAAATGACTTAAAGTTAGGAAAATAAATAAATAAAAGCAAACCATATGGAAGCCCTCAGTAGGAGTGACTGAGAAGCCTAAAATTAGGGATTAGCTGATGATGCAGTCAGAACAAAAACACCTTTGTTTGAGCTGTTTAGATTCAATCACCTTAGATGATCTGAGCTGAAGGAGATTAACTCCTTCACAGAAATGACTACAGGAATAATTTCAGCTGGCAGACAATTTCATTTGTCAATGACTTTGTAAACTACATTATAATTTATTACTGTTGTAAGCCTTGAGAGTGTTAACTTTTATAATGAACTAGCTGTGCCCCGCGGTTTCACCCGCATTATCACATGTCGGAGGTGAACGACATGACCTAGTTCAAGCATTTTATAATTGCAATTAAATATTTTATTTGATAGCAATGGATGGAAAAATTGGCATAATTAATGGAGTACTTTTATCTGTCGGCATATTATGTATGATGTAGAGCGAAGTTAAGTTTTATCCACTTTCCCTCCCCCACCCGGTTGAGCGTCCCCCCCCACCCCACGTCACAGAAAGTGTCCCGAAGTGCGGTTTTTTCCAGTTTTAAAGAAAACCGTACACGATACATGCAAAGTGTGTAGGCATGAAATGATTCTTGAGCTATCAAACTCTTATACTTATTAATCAATTAAATTTCTAAAATACCATAGCAACGTGAAATGAAAGAGTTCAGAAATAAAGATGTAACTAATCATTGTCATAAATGTACTCAATTAATTTTTAATTTATTTTAACTATAATGATTGAACTAACCTCGCTCTTAGAAGCTTTCTATACTGGCTTCTCTCAGTTCTCACTTTCCACCGGGTGGCTAGGTTTATGCGTGTTTCGCGCGCCCAGCCAAGTATTGAATTATTTTAATTTTACATTATCTCTTAAACTATGCATCCAAAATAACATGGTATAAAGAACAAAGTTTATCTTCATAAAATTGTCTTGATGATGAAGTAACTTTCGTTCGTAAGGAATAAGAAATAGACATATGGTATCGTGGACTTTTTTTTAGACGGAGTAAAGATCTATATTTTTCTAGAACATTGTATTTACATATCCCTAACGATAACACCAGCGTACGCGGATAAATCATTTCGGGAGTGCTTTTTCTTCTGACTTGCTTAACAAATATCCATATTTAAGGCTAGCTGAGTGATAAAGCTTAATGCTAGATAGCCTATACTAGTATTCCACATAAATCGGGCTATAATATACAAAAAAAATTTTCAAATCGGACAGGTAGTTCCAGAGATTAGCATGTTTAAACAAACAAAAAAACAAAAAACTCTTCCGCTTTATTATATTAGTATAGATATTTAATGTTTTTCTAATAAGTATTTGTTAGATTTTCTTTTTTGTGCAATATAAAAAAATTTGAAACTACAATTTGGTATGTATTTATTAGGAAATATGGAAGAAAATAAACTCTCAAAGTGATCTACTTAACAATAACTTTATTTAAAAGTCACTAAATCATTGATTTTTTTCAGAGAATTGTACTTTTTATACTTTGGCCTTAGATATTGATATAAGGTCACAATATTGGTCTTTTGTCTATCATCTCTTGTCTTAAGGTTGGTCAGTGATGAAGGAGTTGACAGATCTTATTGTAGAACTATAACATAAACTTCTGAAAGTTTAAAATTTTTATTTTTCTTTTTAAATAGGAATCATAAGCATAATATTGAATGTTATAGAATGTTATTATAGCCTATGTTTAGCTGACACTTTGCTAGCTCTATTTTCCCTGTTTGAACTTGAAATATTTTTAATTTTGTTTTACATTAACATTTTATCAAAAACTTTATTTCAAAAACTGGTTTTATTGCTCACTTACCATTGAACTGCCCCACATAGTAGATGACAATATAGTTGAATAATTTGTATTCAATATAGATTACAAGTAATTCTCATTGAAGGTATTTTGCTTTTACATTATATAAACTTAAAATATATTTTCCCATCCAAGCTCGATATTTTTGAGGTAGTAATTCCACCACCCATCCATTCAATAACACTTTTTTGTGATATTATTAGTGACATCATCATCATCATTCATTATTACAGCCTTTCATAAGTCCACTGCTGAACATAGGCCTCTCCCAAGGAATGCCACAAAGCACGGTCCTGAGCCACCTGCATCCATCGACTTCCTGCATGTCTTACCAGGTCGTCACTCATCTCGTGGGGGAGGGGGGGGGGGTCACTCAAGAACCTTTCTTCCCCATCGGTTGTCGGTTCTTCGAGCTATATGGCCAGCCCTCTGCCACTTCCTCATACGGCCAGCAGTGAAGGACCACGTCTCAGATCCGTAAGTCATCAATGGCAACACGCACTGGTTGTACAATTTTGTTTTAAGGTTTTGAGGTATGTCTGACGAGAAGATATGTCGTAGCTTCCCGAACGCTGCCCAGCCGAGATGAATCCGTCGATTGACCTCTCGGTCGAAGTTGGACTTACCTAGTCGGACTATTTGTCCCAGGTAAACATACTCGTCAACAACTTCGAGCTTAGTGCTCCCAACAACTACCGGCATAGGTGTGACATGGACATTAAACATGATTTTTGTTTTGTCCATGTTCATCTTAAGACCTATCCGTTGGGAGACACTATTGAGGTCATTGAGCATAGTGCTTAGGTCCTCTAGCGATTCTGCCATAAGGACTATATCGTCGACAAATCGAAGGTGAGTGATGTACTCGCCATTGATGTTAATACCGTATCCTTTCCAGTCCAGAAGCTTGAAAACGTCTTCCAATGCAGCGGTGAAGAGTTTCGGGGATATAACGTCACCCTGTCTTACACCTCTCTGCAATTGGATAGGTTTCGTACTCTGGTTCTGTACTCGGATAGCCATCGTAGCCCTACTGTACAAGCACTTCAGCACTTCGATATACCTACAGTCAACTTGGCACCGCTGAAGGCACTGCAGCACCGCCCAAAGAGCAATGGCAGACTTTCATACATAAAATTAGTTGAGAAGAAATGGTAGCGTCTATATACCAAAATATCTTAAAATGTTAAGCGTCAGTCCCTTAATAACTCTGTAAAAGAATTTTGTACTGAGAAGGCGTCAAAAAAAAGATATTTACATTTGAACCTTTTTAGGTTATGTCCTGTCACTTGGAAAAAGTCATGCCTCCTGTGGTTGTTTGATGTTAGCTTAATACATAATACATAATTGAGAGTTTTTAGATTATTGTATCTCTTTTATATATTTGCATACTATAAATGTATATTTCTGGCATGGCTCCAGGGCTTTTGTACCATAGTGACATTCTCAGAAGGGCTAGAACCCAGAGCCGTAAAACCAGTAAATAAAACAGTGACATTTTATTTTAGCTAGTGTTGGCATAACATTAAATGGAATTGTTACATAGTACTATGATTGAGATAATGTATTATTGTAGGAGATTCTTTGTAAGAGACTTATTCTCAGCCATATTACTTTTATTTTTGTTATTACTGATAGTACAGTTATTACTAATAATAACTTAATATAAAAATATTTTGTGTGTTGTGTTGGTAGTGTTACAAAGTGTATACGAAAATAGTAGGAATATACTAAATGGCAACATTTGAATATAGTAAAATGATTTCAGTCATGTGATATTCCCAAAAATGTTTGTTTTTTTCTGTGGCTTTAATTAAAATACATTTTTATTTGAAAAATCATAGAAAAATAATAAAACTCCTTTTATATATAACTTATTTCTAGACGCTATAATTTTTGTCAACTATTTTTCTGCCATTGCTCTTTCGACGGAATCAAATGCTTTCTCATAGTCGTCCACATACCCCAGGCATAGTGGCAAATTGTACTCCTCGGACTTTTGTACAACTTGCCGAAGGGGATGTATGTGGTCTATAGTGCTAAAGCCCTTTCGGAAACCGGCTTGTTCGGGAGGCTGGAAGTCGTCAAGTCTGCGTGCGATACGATTCGTAATGACTCTGGAAAACTGCACGTAGACGCGGCTCAGAAGGGAAATTGGTCTGTAGTTCTTCAAGAGAGCATTGTCACCTTGCTTGAAGAACAAGACCACCGCACTTCTTCTCCACGCCTCCGGTGTAATGTCATCATGGAGGACGGAATTAAAGAGCCTCTGAAGGACTTCCAGTACCGGTTTTCCACCCCCTTTCAGAAGCTCCGCTGTAATTTCATCCTCGCCTGGGGCCTTGCTGTTTTTAAGATGTTGGAGAGCCATTCTAATCTCCCTCAGACTGACGTCCGGGATATCTTCGGAATAGTGTCGGATAAGACTCGCTCTTGGATCGTTACTCACGCTTGCGTGTGGCTCCAACGATGACATGTACAGCTGTCCATATAACCTCTCAATCTCACTCAAAATCTCAGGTGCCCCGGAAACGATGCTGCCACACTCGGTCTTCAGCCTTGACAGTTGGCTCTTTCTGGCAGACAGATCTCTGGCAAAGACTTTGGAGCCTTGGTTCCGCTCGATCGCTTCTTCAATAAAAGCTGTATTGAAGTTGCGTAAGTCCCGCCGCATGCATTTGGAGATCTGTCTGTTTAGTTGCCTGTACGCTGTGAAATCTACTGAAGACTGCTCTCTTCAGTAAATCTAAAGGAGATCTCCCCTTTTCCTTTATATTAACATCAACGGCGAGTACATCACTCATCTTCGATTTACCGACGATATAGTCCCTATGGCAAAATCGCTGGAGGAACTAAACACTTTGCTCAATGACCTCAATATTGCCTTCCAACGGATAGGTCTTAGTATGAACCTGGACAAAACGGGTATGTTTATCTGGGACAAATAGTCCGACTAGGTACGTCCAATTTCGACCGAGAGGTCAGTCGACGGATTCAACTCGGCTGGGCAGCGTTCGGGAAATTACTGCATATCTTTTCGTCAGGTATACTCAATACTCAAAAAAATATACTCTGTATACGCCCTGAGCTGCCCTAACCAAGGTAGACTGGACTAGGGCCCATCAGTAGCTCAATCGACGAGCAGCAGAGGACGGGGCTCAAAATGCCTATGGACAATTGACCTACACAATAGAGATAGGCTAGGTAAATAAATAGGACGTACCTGGTTCCGAGGCGAAGACTGCCCCAAGGCTCGGTCAGGCCGTAGGTAGGTGTAGATACATGTAAAGTGGTGTTTATAAAGTTTGACCTGACTGGATCGTTGAAGTCTGACTGCTGATCCACCGGCGCTGCCTCTGCTCCAAAGGTGAGATCTCTCAAAAGGGGGCGATCACCAATTGACAACTTCTGTCTTCATTTCACTATTTCAGTTTATCAACTTTATTGTACACTATTTCAATCCATCAACTTTATTGTACATTTGATTAACTTCAAACTCAACTAAATCCCCGTTAATCGTAATCCACGGCACGACTAAAGAACGGTGGATAAAACGTCACTTCCGTTTCACGTAGCAACAAGATTATAAGATATTAAATACTACGCCCGCATTAAGATTCAAAGTCAGCCTAGCTGGCACGCAAAAACTACATAGACAACACACAAAAGGCACTTAACGCGACGGTACAGTTAAACATTAACTTCCAAACAATTAATCGACCCGGCGTCTATTTTTCTAGACTCCACAAATTCCTCGTCGTTGCATAAATCTGCTAACGAACCGACACTAATAGAGGTTATACGGGACGACCTCAAGCCGTGCTAGTTACTGCACTGCATTCAATCACTTCCGACCCGCCCCACAAGCAACCAATCCGGTTTCGCGCGAACGTCACACGGTAGGAAATCACCGCTCTGCGCGCCCCCTGGCGTCGATTCTTGACATTAGCGTTTGGCGCGTACAACCAGTGCGTGTTGCCAATAATGACCTATGGAACTGAGACGTGGTCCTTCACTGCTGGCCGGATGAGGAAGCTTAAGCTCGCTCAGCGAGCTATGGAGAGGGCTATGCTCGGAGTTCTTCTTAGAAATGAGGATATCCGCAGTAAAACGAGAGTTACCGACATATCCCAACTGACTAAGTTGCTGAAGTGGCAACAGGCCGGCCATATAGCTCGAAGAATCGACAACCGATGGGGGAAGAAAGGTTTTCGAACGGCGGCCTCGTGCCGGCGGACGAAGTGTAGGCCGTCTCCCCACTAGATGGAGTGACGACCTGGTAAGACATGCAGGATGTCGATGGATGCAGGGGGCTCAGGACCATGCTTTGTGGCATTCCTTGGGGGAGGCCTATGTTCAGCACTTGGACTTGTGAAAGGTTGTTATGATGATGATTGTTAATCATATTTTAATTTACAGAAGACCGCCCCCGTCGGCCAAGTAATGGTCCAGGAGCAGACATAGATACAGGAATTACTATATTATTAAATAATGAGCAAATTGAACAGAGATTTAATGATTATGATCCAACCAAGAGAATCCAAAACGAGTTTTCAAATGAAAAAAACTTGTACAATGTCAGCACTTTGCCTTTGAAATCTGAGAATGATAAAGTATTTAGTAGTCGCAACATTCCAGATATAAGTTTTTTACAATCCTTGAATAATAAACCTACTATTCCTGTAATTCCCAGTGAATCTAGAAATCTATCAGAACCATCACTGAATATACCCAACTTAAGTTTAATACTTCGGCATGTTAATAAAAATTCAGTTCAAAATGTAAGTACTGGAAGCCAAAGTGATGTTGAATCAACACAAGACTCTGTAGAGTCAGTTCATAAGCAAGCAAAAGCAGAAAATAACTCACATTTTCAGAAATCTTTGCCAAACATAACTGACTTACATAGCCATATTGATAAAATAATACTAGAAGATACTAATTTAATTAATTTTGAGTATGGTGAATTAGAAAATATAACATGCAAATTTTCTGAGACCATTGTTAAAGGTCCATTTGGCCCTAGTGGTAAAATAGGTAGTGGAGGGTTTGGTGAAGTTTTTGTGGGCTATCACCCAAAATATGGAATCCCACTAGCTGTTAAAAAAATTCACAGTCACCTTCTGTGGCCAACGCATAAACCACAAATGGCAATTGACATGTTTAATACTGAAGTCAAAAATTTGACACAATTTAGACATAAAAATATTGTCCCAATATTAGGTTTCTCGATGAATGGCCCTGTTCCATGCATTATATGTGAATATATCGAAGGAGGTTCCTTAGAACAACAATTGGCAGCAAAAGTGTTAAATGAAAGACAAAGAATAAATATTATGCTTGGAACTGCTGAAGGATTGAAGTATTTACACAAAAGTGAGCAGCCAACTCAAAGCATATCTGTAGAATCTGATACACAGAATGTAAGGAAAAATAATTTTGTGCATCGAGATGTAAAGAGTGCTAACATTTTATTAACCAAAGAATGTGTTCCAAAGGTAAATGTTTGTAAACAATTTTATTGTCTCTGTATCTTATCTTTTTGAACAATTCGTTTGACATAAAGATAATTTAAGTGTAGTTGCATTAGATCGTTTGTAGATAGGGCTGATAATTTCTTTAAATTACATCTTTTTACGAAATCAGAGAGTTCTAAAAATGAGGACGTTCTATGTTCAACGCCTGTTTTTATGTATGTTTACTGATTCCTCAATGATTGCAAATTCTGATGGCTCAACCAAATTAATTTTTTATTACTTAGCGAAGTCTCATAAAACTCGGCAGTTTCCTATTCCAGCCAAAACTAAGATGTGTTTTTTTTATATAGGATAAGGTGACAAACGAGCACACAGTCCACCTGATGGTAAGTGCTTGCTGTGACCCATAGACATCTACATATATCCTCAATAAAGAATCAAAATACATATGCGTCGCCACCCGTGCGGACTAAGATGGAATGCCTCTTCCAGCAAAATGGGTCTCCAGTTCTCTACACTCACCATACGAAACACAGCAGTATCAAGCTGCCATTTTACGCTGGTATTCTGTGAGAGTGGTCCTTCTCCGGTCGAGCCGACCCATCCGTGCCACAACCACACTACTAATACAGCTGCAGCTTGGCTCATTAATAAACAACATTTAAAAAAAAACTTTCTGCAAATGTCAACCTCACCTGCATAATATAGTACACTTGATGACTTTTTGAGGCCAGTACGAAACTATTAACTCTCTGGTAACCAACCTGACTATTAAAAGTATTAAGTATGTACAATGGTTTCAAGAAATGTATGTTTCAAAGTTAAAATGGCTGGAAGAATAGAGTTTTAATTGAAAGCTAGATATACATTTTCGTCAAATCATAAAATCATTCATTAGGTATTTAACCCTTTTCCATTAAAGTGTAATTTAAAATAATATGATAATTTTAAACAAGCAATTGTTGTTCTTTTTTAGATCTGTGACTTTGGACTCGTTAAGCAATATGAATCAACTTTCGTTACTACATCACCGATGGGCACTTCAGCATATATGGCCCCTGAAGGCTTTAATGGAACCATTACTCAGAAAATAGATATTTATAGCTACGGGATAGTCCTTTTGGAGCTACTTACAGGTTTAAAGCCCATAGTTGTCAATAATAACAGTGACACAATAAATATCAAGGATTATGTCAAAGAACATATAAAAGAAAAGGGGGAAATTGATAGTGTACTAGATCCAGTTGTGAGTAAATGGACAAAGGCGGAAGAAATATATAAACTTTCAGAAAGTTGTTTACAGCTCGAAAGAACCAGCAGACCTTCAATAGAAAATATATGCGAGGTTTTAAATAATATAAATAATAGCTGATCTATGACATTGCATTCTCCTAGGTTGGTAAATATAAATTTGTTAAATATGATACAAACATGTATAATATGCATACTTATACTTCAGCCGGTACAATAAGAACATATTAGGATTATTAGATAAAACATTGTTTTATAATATATATTTTTTTATTGTACTTATCCTGTTCAAAAACACATTGTCCATTGTACAACTGATAAGATCTAATTCATTTGTAATGTTTTTTCTATCTTCGTCATTACACAATCTGATTAAAATAATAATCATGCTCTGTATCTCAGTTGCTAAATCATTATCTTTACAGGTGTACAATACTTTAAATAAATTCGAGAGTATATTTTGTCCAGCAGACAATTTCCATATACACCAACAATACTTTACCCACTCCTTGAGAGTCTGCAACCAAATTAATAGAGTTACAGAGAGCCTGTTATTATAACACTGTCTAAGAGATATACATTAACTAATGTATAAGTTGACTTCTATATATAATGTCAGTTGATTTAATTGATTTTATCTGTACTTTTATTCAATATTGTCACATGTAAGAGAGATATAACATAACAACATTGCCAAATGCTAACTACACGCGGAATAATCTGCAAATATCTGTCTGTTAAATGACAATATATCTATACAAATAAATAAAATTGAAGTGTCTGTTTGTAATGTTAAAATAACAGCTTTTTACTAAATGCATATGAAAGTATATACGATACTAATAACAAAGAAACATTTTTTTAAATTTTTGTCTGTCTGTCTGTTTGTTCTGGCTAATCTCCGAAACGGCTGGACCGATTTTGACGGGACTTTCACTGGCAGATAGCTAATATTATAAGGAGTAACTTAGCATACTTTAGAAAAATAATTAGGGTTCCGCGCAAAAAAAATTCGGGCGAAGTCGCGGGGGACAACTAGTTTGTTCTAAAAGGAACAAATTTTCGCACTACTACTGCGCTCACGGTTTGATTACACTCATCATGCTTAAGGCATGCAGGATGTCGAACACCTCAATGCCCCCGTGACTATGGGTGCTGTAAAGTGTCAGAAACGTCGGGAATTAATGAAGTTAAAATTAAACGCAATAAAATCTGTAAAATCAGTTTCATTCCAAAATGAATGCTGCAGAAATGCAGTCATTAAGAAGTACGTTAGGAGTTACTCTAAAAGATGTGAAGAAAAGTGTGAGAAAATGTGTTTGGCGTGCAATATTTTTGCTTATATACTAAACTATTCTTTTATTATTCCAATTTAATGGAATAATGAAATGTTAATAAATATATTTCGTTTTCAGAACTGGCAATGCATCTGTAACCTTATTTGTGAGAAGTAAAATCAGATCTGTGTGCCCACCTACCATCAGATGGACCGTTACGTCGATTATTATATACATGTATCATAGTATATATATCTTTTTTATTAGCCTAAAATTCCACTACTCTCTGAATTCTCGCGTAGTAGGGATTTTCCTTAATCGTCACGTTTGGCAGACGTATTTACGATAGCAGAACCAGAAGTACCGCATCTTTTATGTCGTTTCCCGTCGCTGGTCTGAGCATTTTACGTCTATTATATGCCTACCTGTAAAATATTATGAAGTAGTACATCAGCCACTGTCTCGTTGCAACATAAGTCTAAATTGTCTCCAATGATAGCTAGGAAAACACTTCTACTAGCACAGTGGATCTTTTGGATTGTTATCAATATCCTGATAAAATTTATACATTCCGCTTTTCTATACAAATTTGACTCAACATAAAGTTGCTCAAGGACATTCACATACATGTCTTCTACTTTAGTAGGCTGCAAAAAAATAAGTTTTGATTTTTATATTTTTTTTTGGATTGCGTTTTATGGGCTGTGTAATGATGATGATGATGATGTCTACATGACATAGTATCGCATATATCTTAGACACTATTGGTAAATTATTTATCTTTAGATACTTTATCGATGAAAACAAACAGACTCTGACTGTGATGCAAGAAGAATAATATTACAACGATTAATTTCAGCAAACTCCATAGCATAATATCCTATGAATTATTGATGTTGGCAGCCGATATTAAAAATATACTACAGAAAAGATCTATTTGTGCCTAAAATATTAGATCAAGGGATTCACTTGGGAGACCTTTTTAAACATAATAAGAATAAGCGAGAGTAGCCTGATGGCAGGTTGCGGACCGCGCACTCAAATGGTCGTGGGTTCGAATCCGTCATTCGACTACTGTCGTAAACCACGCCTAACACAAGCATTTTAAGCTTACCAGGAGTAGTTACAGGGAATATTATTAATGTGAATATCAGTGGTTACAGGAAATATTAGTAATATGCTAGTATTTTCTTTAAAAAAAAAACAGAACAGTAAGACCGGTATTCAGATAATCTTGCGATTAAACTAACTCCACAATGTTAAAATTGGAGTAACAAAGTAATTTTTGGATTCTGTCGGTGCGGTAAACATGGTTCGTACTAATTTAAGTGTTATTTTGTTGGAGAACTGTGAATTTACTTAAACTTTAATTAATCTTAATACGTATTGGTGATAGCTTTTTAGAAATGTTCATTAGTTATAATGTTTTATATGCAATTCTCTAAAATAAAACGGTGGAAGATCCTTACGATCCGAATGGGGTACCCGATATTTCAATTCAAAATACTAAATGAAAAAAATAACCGCGAACTATTAGTTATTAATAAATTTTATAATTACACTAATTAGCTCGGAGTGAAACTCATGGCGCTATCTACCTCAAACGATAGAACAGTATCAGTGGGGTTAGCTAGTAGGTACTATGAAATAATAGAAACTATGTATAAGAATACCTTGACATCTTCTGGAAGAACATCATATAAAGCCTTAAAACATTTAAATACCAATTTTGTAACTTCTATATCTTTTTCTGAGATAACTTTCTTAAGGCTGTTGTAAATAACGTCATAATAATTGCCTTCTTGGAAATCTCGTCCATTCTAAAACAAAATATTACAAGGCAATATTAAAATGTATGTATTGCCACAAATATTGAATGTTAGAATAATTGTAATTGCAATGCAAAATATTTTTTTCTAATAATACGGTGTCCTTAATAGCTCTAGGCTTATACTTATTGTGTAACTTTTTTTTAAGAAGTTACACATAAGTACACATTTCACCTCATAGTAAATCCGTAATCATCCATAATCGATTAATTAATCAAAATGCAAATGGTTTGTCACCTGGACTAAGATGAAGAAACCATCGATCACTAACAAAAAACTAGATACACAATCCCATGAAAAAGTTCTTATAAATGTAAATTCAACCTTAAATGCATTGCCTAAAGTTGTATTCACAAAGCTACGTACAAATTAAAAGCGCACCCAAATGTCCGAGTGGGCGCTCATTCGGTGAGGACATTTTTTGTCACTTTTTTTTTATTTAAAAAACGTTACCCCCACACTAGGATTTTCTCCTGTGTCGTGGAGGCAGTTTACAAACATAAATTGCACAAGGACAAACAACCAGACCCGGAACAATTATTTGTAGGCCACACAAATACTTGTTCCGTGCGGGATTCGAACCCGCGGCCCCCAGCGCAACAACTGATAGCTAAGCCACTGCGCCACGGAGCCGTCAATGATTGTATATCTAGCTTTTTATTAGTGATCGATGGAAGAAACTGATTAAAATGTAATAAAAATAGTATAAGTGTATTCAATAATTAAATTCTGCATTCATCCCATTCCAAATAGACTAGTAGTATACTATACTAGTTCAGGTACATAATTGATTGTGCTATGCTGATCATGGTAATATCATTCAATTATGATTATCAACTACACAGGATATGTTATTAATATAATACTTATGTGACAAGGACAGTGGAAGTGAAAGTGAACACATAATACTCGTAGATAAATAATCACAATACATGGTGGGGCACTGAAATTCTGCGCTTCTGGCCGCTAATAAATGTTTGAATATCAAATGTTATATTTTTTAAACTTAAGAAACTCATGAGTTGATTGAAAATATTTCTAGCGGGATGTCGCGTGTTATCAGTTTATTTTTTTATCACAAATGGAAGTACATCATCGGTAGCAAAAATGGAATTACCACGAAAAGATTTTAGGGCTACTTTTTTATATTTTTATAAATTCACACTCCACAAGATTACACTGCTCGTCTTCAAAATACTTTTGGGAGGAAAGCACCCCTCATTTGAGCACCGTAAGGCCGTAAGGTGAACGTGGCCAAGTTTCTCTCCATGATGAAAGAAATTAGTGAAGGTCGACCCTCAACTGCGATGACAGAATAATGTGTGGCTACTGTTAGGTGACTATTTAAGAAAACCGGCGCATCACCTATGAGAAGATCCGAGGACATATATTATTGGCATGAGAAATAAAAATTACATCAACATTTAAAAGTTAGTAAACTTTTCTGCCGCTGGATTCGTCATAAATTTACATCAAAACAAAAACGGGCTCGAGTTGATCGGTGTAAAAAAATGTTATTTGAGTATGACAAATGTCCTTCAAATGCTGTGTATTATATTGTGGCAGAAGATGAAATATACATTCTAGATTCATATCCAGATTTCAGGCAAGAAGCGTGGACAAAAAAATATTGCGTATTTTTATTCCCAGACGGATCCTGTCTACACAATCTATTTGATGAGCAAAAGACAGTTAATGCGGAGTGATACACTACCATTTGTTTGCTCAATGTCTTTGAAATAATTAAAAAATTTGTACAACCGACTTCAATATAAATTATTAAAAATAACTCAAAAACTATTGGTCAGACCTTGATCACATTTATATGGGACCACATGTGAAGCACCAGCCTTGAAATAAAAAAAACATATAGTCAAATTGAGTACCGTCTCCTTTTTGACAAATTAGGATTTGATATAAATTAGGGAAAAGCACGGAGCAAATATACAGAGATGTTGTTATTAGATTTCACTATGTAACAACGCGTGACAATTTTCGGGGTGAGGGGGTGTTAAGACTCGCCCACTTTACTATTTACCATCTACCGATAAATAGTAAAACTCTTCATCTTTTCACATCGCTTCACTCCGCACTCGCATCGTTACATATCGATGTTGCAATGTAGTTTAGCTACCTTGACGATAGATGGCGGCCTGTACACAAAATTATTATAAAAATAATATTTTGACGATTAAGTTTAGGACTGAATGCAAAACAAATTTCAGCACCTTCGTATGATTATTTTACCAATACTGAGCTCTACGTAAGGTACGTATTACTTACAAATGAAGTATGATGCCATCCATAGGTAGCATCAGAGCGTCTTTCTGAGTAGTTTTTACATGATAAAACACAACACTTCATCATTTTCTTTTTAATACTACGAAAATACATTGATTTGCGATAACACAACATAAGCGCACAGGACGTACGCTGACAGTATATTAACTAAAGCCACCATGCGGTTCTTTTATTTTCCAAAAGAAAATAACGATTTGGTGAGGTTTACATTTTCTGAGTCAGAAAAGGCCATGATAGTTTTCAACCAGCAAGTGACAAGCATGTCATCAGCCATCAGAGATCAGAGAATGAAAAGTGTATAAAATGATATTTGAAAAGTACTAAATATATGTTCTACATATAAATTGTTTTATTTATTAGTTGACGCAAAACTTTCAAGTATATGTCACGTATAACCAGATAAGCTGTTTTCGAGAATAGTTACGAATCGTCTTGCTTGGGTGACTTTTAGCCTCCTGAACAAGTTTGTTTTTGAAAAAGCTTTAGTACAATAGACTATATACATACTCTGCAGCAAAATGGTACAAAGTAAAGAGTACAATCTGCCAATTTGTTTTAAGTATGTGGACTATGAGAAAGCTTCTGATTTCGTCGAAATTTAGACAGTGCAATGCAATGGTCTCTTTGGCAGTGCAAATCAACTGCCGGTATATCGAAGTGCTGAAGTGTTTGTACAGTAGGGCTATGATGGCTATCAAAATACAAAACCATAGTACGAAACCTTTTCAACAGATGAAAGGTGTAAAACAGGGTGGCGATGGAAGCTACCACTGAACTGGAAAGGTTAACAACAATGGTGAGCTCATCACTCATCTTTGACTTCCGACGATAGTCTTAATGACAGAATTACTGGAGGAACTCAGTATTATAAATAATCTGTCTCCACACGAATATGTCCTAAAATGAACATGGACAAAACAAAGGTCATACCTATGTCGGTAGTTGATAGGAGATCTCGCTCGAAGTTGTCAAGGACTCTGTTTACCTAGAACAAAATGTCTCTTGGTAGCTTACATTTAGTCATTATTGGTAGAACTTAGTAAGTTTAAATTCGACCGAGAGGAGAAGGCTTCGCATTATACAAATTATGACTCATCTTCTCGACACATACCTCAAAACTTGAATACAAGATTGTACAACCAGTGCATGTTGTCAGTGATGAGTGATGACATATGGGTCTGAGACGTGGTCTTTCACTGCTGGCCATAATGAGGAAGCTCATGGTCGTTCAGCGAGCTATGGAGAGAAATACCTTCTATATTATTTTGTGCATAAAATAAGAGCGAATACCCATCCATCTGCAGCAACTTAGGTTAGTATTACCCAGTAATTGTCATAGTTTTGACGATGCTAGAGTATTCTACTTAAAAAGTGAAAGATGTTAGAATTTAAGTAAAAGTTTATTGGTAATTTTTGATCTCATTGCTATTAATAACTTTATATTGTACCAGGTTGATGTTGTATTCCGATGATATCCCGGACGTCAGTCTGAGCGAGATTAGAATGGCTCTCCAGCACCTTAAAAACGGCAAGGCCCCAGGCGAGGATGGAATTACAGAGGAGCTTCTGAAAGAGGGTGGATAACCGGTACTCGAAGTCCTTCAGAAGCTCTTTAATTCCGTCCTCCATGGTGGCATTACACCGAAGGCGTGAAGCAGAAGTGCGGTGGTCTTGTTCTTCAATAAAAGTGACAACGCTCTCTTGAAGAACTACAGACCGATTTCCCTTCTCAGCCGCGTCTACGTGCTGTTTTCAAGAGTCACTACGAATCGTCTCGCGCGCAAACTTGACGACTTCCAGCCTCCCGAACAAGCCGGTTTCCGAAAAGGCTTTAGCACCATAGACCACATACATACCCTTCGGCAAATTGTACAGAAGTCCGAGGAGTACAATTTGCCACTATGTCTGGCGTATGTGGACAATAAGAAAGCCTTTGATTCCGTCGAAATTTGGGCGGCGCTGCAGTCCCTTCAGCGGTGCTAAGTTGACTGTCGGTATATCGAAGTGCTGAAGTGCTTGTACAGTGGGGCTGCGAACTACGATGGCTATCCGGGTACGGAACCAGAGTAAGAAACCTATCCAATTGCAGGGAGGTGTAAGACAGGATGACGTTATATCCCCGAAATTCTTCACCGCTGCATTGGAAGACGTTTTCAAGCTTCTGGACTGGAAAAGATACGATATTAACATCAATGGCGAGTACATCACTCACCTTCGATTTGCCGATGATATAGTTCTTATGGCAGAATCGCTGGAGGACCTAAGCACTATGCTCAATGACCTCAATAGTGTCTCCCAATGAATAGGTCTTAAGATGAACATGGACAAAACAAAGATCATGTTTAATGTCCATGTTACACCTATGCCGGTAGTTGTTGGGAGCACTAAGCTCGAAGTTGTTGACGAGTATGTTTATCTGGGACAAATAGTCCGACTAGGTAAGTCCAACTTCGACCGAGAGGTCAATCGACCGGTTGGGCAGCATTCGGGAAATTACGGCACATCTTATCATCAGGTATACCTCAAAACTTAAAAACGAGACTTTACAACCAGTGCATGTTGCCAGTGATGACTTATGAAACAGAGACGTGGTCCTTCATTGCTGCCCGGATGAGGAAGCTCAAGGTCGCTCAGCAAGCTATGGAGAGGGCTTTGCTCGGAGTTTCTCTGCGTGATAAACTTAGAAATGAGGATATCCGCAGTAGAACCAGAGTGACCGACATAGCCCAACAGATTATTAAGCTGAAGTGACAATGGACCGGCCATATAGCTCGAAGAACCGACAACCGATAGGGAAAAAAGGTTCTCAAGTGGCGGCCTCGTACCGGCGGACGAAGTGTAGGGCGTCCCCCACTAGATGGAGTGACGACCTGGTAAGACATGCAGGAAGTTGATGGATGTGGATGGCTCAGGACCATGCTTTGTGACGTTTTTTGGGGGAGGACTATGTTCAGCAGTGGACTTGTGAAGGGCTGTAATAATGATGATGATGATGATGTTGTTTATTTTTTATTTATAGGCGTTAAGAACCTAATTTTCCATAATTTTAAGTTTCGTTCATGAAAATGTCTGAGTTGTTAGAAGTTCATTTTTGTTGTCGTAAAGTTATACTTATTTAAGTTACTACTAATTTTTTTTCTTGTTTTGTCCATATAATAATAACCCAATAAGGACTTTAGAACACCAAGACATTAAAAACTCTTGTAGTAGGTATATTTTTTTGTAAATCTTCTTTCATTTGTAATAAAAAGCTACGTTTTTATATTATTTTACTTTTATTATTTGCTCCTATTATCCTCTCGATTTACCAAAATGGAACTAAACAAAAACCAATACCTCCTATGTATAAATATTTTAGTAAATACTGGTTTTACAGGAAAAAACAATTAACAGGCCCTATTTACATTTAAAACTAAAGTGAATTTATCAAATGAAATCAAAATAAAAATTAAAATAAAATTATGAGAAGTTTTTTTTGCTTCCTGTAAAACTTACATATTTAAGATATGAGATATTGGCACTTTGTCTTCGATATCCAGCTTGTGTTTGTTCCTAGTGTTTACAGTGTGTATCACTTTTGTGTTTTACTAAAACTAGCTTTGTTTTTGTGGACATACATGAAATTTTCATAAATATTCTGAAGGGCCAAAGTTAATATATTTATTTATTTCATAATATAGTATTTTTAAGTAAGTGTAAATTGAAATGTCATTTTCAAAGATATCAGATACTATATTTAAGTACTTTTTAAAAGCAATTATTGTTTACTGAATTTATAACTAAATTTTAAATGTTCATAATGTAGGTACTTAGGTAGGCTAGTTATGTTATGGCTAAATAATTAGTCCTTACCAAGCACTGCAAAACTGAAATACAACATTGTAATCCTTTGACTTTATTGTCTATAATATAATCATTGATAAGAAGTAGAGATGCTGGTAAAACTTTTGATGGAACCACAGCAACATCATATAACTGAAAGAATAAGCTAATTATTTCTGAGACTAAATAATGTAACATTTTATACTATATCTTAATATGCTTTCTAGCACGACCATGGAAGATTTCCTTTAGTTTTCAGTACATATTCATGAAAATGAGTACTATAACATAATATATAAATATATAAGTATAATTTAAAAAGTATACTTATATAGTTATCATATTTGAGCAGAGGTTTTAGGCATGCCAAGTACAAGTTTTTTGGTATGACCACCAAGGGTCTAGATTAAGAGATTATATGGTCACAAATCAAGGAAAATAAATGTTATCAAAATGTACACTATTTTATAGATAATTTGAGCAGTTCTAACTTTATTTTCCTTGATTTGTAACCATATGACCTATCTCTCCTCGGTTGGTTGTGCCGAAAAGCTTCTTCATGGCACAACCACCACCTCTATGCTGTAATTTAAAAATATAAGAGTACAATTTTTAAATTGAAATGTTACAATTAGTACAATAAAGTACTATTTTTAAGGTGTACTGAAAATAATTAAGGATATCCTCCATAGTCATGCTACAAGGCATGACATCTTAATATCATACTTTTAAATTTTTTATTATGTTGTTGTATACTTCAATTTGCCCAGGATATTTCTTGAAGTCACTGGAAGTCAATTTGCTATGCAAGCTTTCTACACACTTGTCGAATATGGCTTGGTAATTAAATATTTCATTATACACAAATATATTGGTGAGACTTATTCCATACAATAATTCAAAATAACTATTCAACATTTGACTTAATTTTAAACAATGTTCACTATTCCATGGGCCATTGCTCAGAAGCTCATAATATAGAATTAAAAGGTGTGATAATATATATTCAGACTCAAGACCTAAATCTTTTAAATTTATTTCTTCTATTTTTTTTAAAACTATTTGAAAATGTTCATCTAACTTTAAATTACGACTTTTAAATTCAATGTGATTTTCGCAATCATCAAAGTTCTTATTAAGTTTGGGTATAAGACATAATTCAATATTATCTTTGAAATTATTAACACTAGCCATTTTAACAGCAAAACTTATATATAATGTACACTGAGCAAAACAATTATAAAATTATATACAAAACTCACTATCGGTCACGTCAGTGCCTAGTATTCTTTATATAAAAAATAGGCATGAGTCCGATATATCAAAACGTAACTAATAACGTTATGTTATCAAATATCATATCATATCGATAAACCTAAGAACATAACCGCTATCACATATCCAACCAAAACCAAAAATCAACTAACCAATGTACGAAACGTAAAACGCAAAACGATATGGCAATAACCGAAAACGGCCCAAAACCAAAACTAACCGATGTCCTTTGATATTCGTTGTTTCTCGTTCTAGCGACAGTATCATAAATACGTATGAAAGAGATGAAGCGAATATGGATTTGGTTGGGATGTTTTGGTTGTTATCATAAAACGGTGCACGTAGTGAAATATAATTATAAGATTCATAATAATAAGGTCGAATTTTAAATGGTTAAAATTGCCTAATTTTTTTAGTTTGTGTAGTTGTGAGAGTTGTCAGATTTAAATGATCTTTAGGACATTAGGCACTAGACTTAGATTTGTTTCATCACATTATATTTGGTTTAGGCAACTTTTATTTATGTGAAAGTTAGAATTTGATTTTTTTTAAACGTAACAATTACGCGTTTCTATATAGTGTGTGAATTACGCACTTGACATTGGTGGGGTGATGTGCCGTTCACTATGAAACTATCTGTAAAATTATTAATTTTTGACGTTGCGTTTGTGCATTTATTTGTAGTACATAATATTTGTTTGCATTTTGTAAATTTGTTTTAAAACTTTCCTGTCAGTCCTAAGCCTAGTTAAGTATATGAAGGTAAATCGCCAACTTAAATAATCATTATAAAAAATAATGATTAGTAATATAATAATAATAAATAAATTATGTACCTATAATAATTTTCTATTTATATATATATATATATATATATATATATATATATATATATATATATATATATATATATAAATTATGTTTACTACTTATGAATACAGTTTAATTATAGACTTCGAAATCAAACTCTGATCCTACGTCTCACTTTAAAAAAATATGGGTATAAACATTATAGAAATAAATGAGAATAGAAAGAATGTAATTTTATACATTTATAATATAATATACTGCATAACAATCATAAATTATATATTAACATACATGTCTAAATATTACATCTAAGATTATATTAGAGCCTCTGACTTTTAAACTAAAATAATCGAAGTAATTCGTAAAATAAATGTTGCACTCGTTCTACAGTTTTCAGGCATAGATGAGTCACTCTGAAAAATAATTAGGTAACGAAACGAGGAAAGTTTCTTCTACGCTTTTATAGATGGCGTAGGGATTATAAATTACTGAAAATTACACTAGAGGGCGCATCACCTAGGTTCAGTATTATTTCGTATATATTTCAATAAAATTAAAAGGAAATCAATTTAATTTAATTTAAATATTAACTAATTTTTTATGTAAATATTTATTGTTTGTTTGAAAAAAAAATCACAATGAATTATTATATACCGGCGTATTTCAAAACTTTGCTAGCATGATTTAGGCTTCGGTATAAATAATAAATACCCACAGTGGCGCCATCTTTTAATAAATTATGTAAAAATATCGGGAAAAATAGTACTTTTACTGTGAGATGGCACTAGTATCAACGTAAAGCAAGCTACTGAGGACTTTCATACCCCTGATTTTAGGTTATGTTTCGGTTGTAAACCATTACTACTGATATCAATATTTGAAAACGGTTTTCAATAACGATATGAAAACTAAATATCAGTTATGTAACCGATGCAGGCAAAATCTGAAAACGCCCATGCTTAATAAAAAAGTACTCTGTGACCTAGTGCCTACTAAAATAAAATAATAAAAATATTACTCTACTCTATGAATAAAACTTTGTTGTTGTTTTTATTATTCGCTCGAGAGAGCACGCAAAGGAACTATGCCATACAGCCTTGTTTTTTTTATTCTGAATATTTAGAATTTCACTGCTTCACAATATAGTGATGCGTCACATAGTGCAGCCCTTGGGAGATTTTGACGGCAACTTGAGCCAGCAGACAGTTGGCGATGGTATCTAAAGGCGCCCATGCAAACAAATAGCTTATCTTGAGAATCCATCACCATCAGAGCACCCGTTTCACCGTTTCCACTAATAGTTCACATGCGTAGACAGTTAACACATAAAATCGCACCACTTTTATATATCAAATTCCACTTCAAACTATTATTTAAACTATAATACATGAGCAGCAAACCGCCGCAGGATAAGTTCCCGCCAAAAACAAAAGAAATAAAATTTGACTTTGACCTTTTTCGTATGGAGTGTAGAGTAGAAGGAGGACCATCTCTGTATATGAAAAGTGTCCCTAAAAACGTGTCCAATAAGGGTGGCGCTGCAGTAGCATAGGATAAATTAAAAAAGAAGCGCCAAAAGTATTTAGAATAAGATGGAGAAATAAATAAGGACCGATCAATCCGCTTGGTTTTGTACTACGTAAATAGTTGAGATTTTGTATATTGGCGTTTTACTAACTACTCTAGTCATGAAATATTTGAATTCAGCTGACTTCACTCCGTTAATAACAGCTATCTTCATATCGTAGTTTTTCAGATGCCAGCGCTATTGTGGTAGGTTTTGGAACCTCTATTTACAGTAAATAGTAGGACACTTTTTCAACCTTCGCTCCTTATAAGATGGTTCTCCTTCTACTCTACACTCCATACTTTTTCGTAACTGGCTTTACGGCTCTGGGTTCTAGCTCTTCTGAGTCTTACGTTTGAGCTGAGTAGTGAATAGTATAGATAATAGTACTGGCGTTGCCAACTCTACGGATTTTTCCGTAGATGTACGGAATTTTGTCATCATCTACGGAACTACGGATTTTGAGGTAAAATTCTACGACTTTTTAAAAACTTAACAAGAAAAACAGTTCATATGATAAACGGCTAAAGCATTTCCGTATATCTTCCTTACATAACAGGCGCAAACTTTTGGATTTGAGCTTCCTTTACAAACTGTTCAATAATCGCATAGACTGTCCTCAATTACTGGAAATGGTTAACATTAATGTTCCAAGCAGATTACCGCGATTTAATGTCTACAAGCTGTCTATGGTCCCACCTCACAGGAATAACCTCGGTCATAATTCATCATTATGCAGAATGTTTAGACTGTATAATGATATACCTAGGCCATCTGATTTAGATATCATCAATGATGTTTCTCACAATGCTTGGATCTTGTTTTAAGTATTTGTGTATCATCTGTCGGTGACCCTTATAAATAATTAAAAAAAGAATATTTTTTAATCATGAATGTGAAATTAGTCAACATTGTCATTCTCTCTCTCTTCTTCTATTGTCTGTATTAAAAACAAACTTTTTTGTTATAAATATCTCATTTTTGGTAAGGTTAATCGATTTCAAATCTTAATAGCGTAGATATTTTGCATTAAATTACGTTTATTTCGAATTTAGATCATTTCTTGGAAAATATGCAGTTAATATAAATGCTTATAAAATTTTCATAGATGATTGAATTGTCACTTATGTCTCAATAAAAAAAAAAAAATAAAATTGATTTATTTCAGACTTTTGTCCATAATATTGTTAGTAGCATAATAAAGAGATCTTAAAAACTAGGTTAGTAACATTTCTATTAGAAAATATTTATTTTAATTTAAATATCTGCCTGCACTTCGCGTCACCCCCGCAACATGTGTGTGAGCGTACACCCAGTGCCGAAGTATCGGGCAGTCAGGCTTTTCACTGATTACTTTGAGAATGGTGTTGGCGCTCCCCCGCACCGTGCGCAGGAGGGATGCGATTCGCTTGCGCACTACGGTGTAAAACCCATCAGTGCGCGCCAATGCGAACATTCCCGATGCACTACAGTAACTTGGAAGCCCCAACAACATTCTCAGACCATTATTAATTGTACTCGGAGAGCGTTAACAGCCCCCCGCGTGTAGTTGACCCATAGATTATATAGCGTTTATAAAGCGTGTATAAAGCGTTTGGCAGTATGCCTTAAACAGTGTTATTTTTACATCTGAACTGCTATGTGCAAATCTGCGAGCCAACATGTTGCAACGGACTGCCATCGCCCTCCTTTCCCTTTCAATATCCTTGTCATCCTTCAAGTCCTCGGTAACCACGTGACCGAGATACTTGAAGGATGGCACCCTTACAAGTTCGATACCATTCAGTTTGACAGGCGGTACATATATCACCTTACGAGTCCTGGCTTTAAAAACCATCAACTCGCTTTTTCTACCATTATACAATAGGCCGTGGGATTTTGCATACTCCTCGCATATTGAGATCAGCCTTCTTAGCGCAGCAACTGACGGACTCAGCAACACCATGTCGTCCGCGTAACTGATGCTGTTTACACAGAGACCATCAATGAAACAGCCGACACTGGCGCTGCCAAGCCTAACAATCAACTCGTCTACATACAAGTTAAAAAGCGTCGGGGAGGTTAAACCACCCTGCCTCACCCCACACTCCAACCCGTACGCATCAGAAAGCTGATCCAGCCATTTGACCTGGTTAGTCTGGTGGCCATACCAATATTTAAGAATATTTATAATCTCACCAGGCACTCCTGAATCTTGTAGTTTTTTCCACAAGATGTCATACCTAACCAAGTCAAATGCCCTGGACAAGTCAAGAAAAGCCGCGTAAACTGGCGTCTTCCTATCCATATAATACCTGACAGTATGCTTGAGAGCCAGAATGGCGCATTCAGTTGACAGTTTTGGCCTGAAACCGAATTGAGCGTCGTGCAGAACCAGATGACACTTGAGCTGTCTTTCAACCAGACCGTCAAGTATTTTTGCTGTGATAGTAGCTAATGAGATCGGCCGATAGTTGTTCTTATCGGATATATCTCCAGTTTTATTTTTAACAATAGGAACAACGACCGATCTCATCAACTCTGCAGGCAGGTATGAGTGTCTAATACAAAAAGTAAATAGCATACCTAGTAGCCTCGGGAGGTGCGGCCCAGCATACATGAAGTGCTCAATGCTGAGGCCGTCATGACCCGGTGACTTGCTTCTTTTCATACCCTTAATTAATTGTTCAACCTCTTTAGCTGTCACACGTTTTGGCACACCAGATATGATTACCTCAGCATCAGCACCCCGTGCAGTTAGCTGCGACTGCACCCTAAAATGAGAACTGAACAGGTTAGCTATATCTCTGGGGTCTTGGATACCCTCAACGCTCACCGGTATGCTAGGCTTCGGACTTAATTTTCTAGTGTGTTTCCAGAAGCTTCGAAAATCTTTATCTTTGTGATAAGTAGCTAAAATAAATCAATGTTTTCTAATCCAGGCTGTCCAAATTGCTTTTACAACTATTAAATAATTTCTGCCGAGTAAGTCTTCACTTTTCTCCGATCTTTTTTTCAAAAGTTGTTAGTTGTGTTACGAGCTTGGGGTTCGAGATAATTAAAAACTGCCGAGTGAATTACCAAAATTGACTATTTAATTACACAACACTAATTATAACTTAAAATCACACTAATAATAAAACACAGTTCGCCGTTATTTCGCTTCGAAGTATTCTCTTGTATCGCCAATTCAATACTGCCTTGGTCATGGTCCATACCGGCCTTATATAGGGCCTCAGACAGTTTCCAGAACCTTCCACTGTAGCGACATCTAGAATGTTCGAGTACATATCGGTCCCGAAATTTCTGGAAGGATCTCGACTCTCCTAGTTCTGCTACTCGACACTAGAGGGCGCTAGTGTAACTAGTGTTGCCATGTACAAGACATTAATAGTGGCGCGCAACACTTTCTTTTACTCGACACTAGAGGGCGCTAGTGTAACTAGTGTTGCCATGTACAAGACATTAATAGTGGCGCGTAACACTGCCCCCTCCTAAGACATGCTCGTCCCGAGCATTATTGGCCCCATAATAACGCGCCAGTCGATCCACATGAACAATCTTAGGAGTACCTCTGACACCTTTCTGTATTCGGTAGGTTACGTCATTGATCCTTGTCACAATCCGGTACGGTCCGTCCCATTTAGCTTGTAGCTTAGGAGATTTCCCTTTGCTGCGAACTGGATTGTGTAACCACACTAGTGAACCTTCATCAAACCCCTTGTTGTTCATTTTACGGTCATACCGTGTTTTCATCTTCTCAGACGTTTGCTGGCCCGTCTGTCTGACGTGCTCATAAATGTCATTCATTTTGTTCCGCAAGTCATTTGCATAATTGGTTATACTGCGTGGGGCATCAGGTGGTATTCCGGTGATCAGGTCTGCAGGCAGCCGCAATTCTCTCCCAAAGTTTACGAAAGCTGGTGTCACTGATGTACTTTCGTGAACAGCGCTTCGATATGACAACAAAAACGGTTGTATGTGCCTGTCCCAGTCTCGTTGCCGTTTTTCCACAACTTTTGTTAGGTACCTCTCCAAATTTAATCTTTCTACCATTCCATCAGATTGTGGGTGGTAAGAAGTTGTTCGTGTTTTCTGAGTACCCATAACTCAGCAAGTTTCCTGGAATATTTGAGACTCAAAATTCCTTCCTTGATCGCTGTGAATCTCTAAAGGTACTCCAAAACGACAGAAGACTTCATGAACTAGTTTATCTGCAACGGTTGAAGCTTCTTGATTTGGAATGGCGAAGACTTCTGGCCACTTAGTGAAGTAATCCATCACAACCATGAAATACTTGTTACCACTTTCAGTTTCTGGAAACGGCCCCGCAACGTCAATGGCTATCCTCTCCCATGGTGCACCAACATTGTACAATTTCAATGCGCCTCTACTACGAATTTGAGGTCCCTTTACAGCCGCACAACTTGTACATTTGCGGCACCAGTCCTCGACATCGTCACGACAGTGGACTCAGTAAAACCGTTCTCGTATCTTCAGGAGAGTTCGTTTAACTCCCAGGTGGCCTCCTGAACAACCACTATGGTACAGCTGTAGAATATCCGGGACTTTAGCCTTAGGGACAACCATTTGCAAATGACACCTGTCTCCCCGACCATTTTTCCATTTACGGCACAGGACTCCATCCTGAATCAGCAAGCTGTCCCATTGGGCCCAATAGCTTTTCGTGGTCGAACTCATTGCTGAGACGTCGCTCCACTTGGGCTTAGGAGCACTGGCCTTCATCCATTCTAGAATCGGCTTAATGTCCGAATCTTCCTGCTGTGCATGTTGTAGGCTGTCCTTCCACTCATTGCTGAGCTGGTCTGTCCTGAGCATTCTCACAGATACCACTTCCTTACCCTCTTGCCTAGTACAATGTTTGCAATCTTCAGGGCAAGGTCTTCTTGACAATGCAACTGCATTGCCATGAGATTTCCCGCTGCGATGTTCGATCACAAAGTCGTATTCCTGCAGTAGTTCGATCCATCTCGCAACTTGTCCTTCCTGATTTTTGAACTGCAATAGCCATTTCAGTGCAGCATGGTCAGTTCGTAAGTAGAATTTCCGCCCCAGGAGATATTTGCTAAAATGCTGCAAGGACTTTACCACAGCAAGCAATTCCCGTCTTGTGACACAATAGTTCCTTTCCGGCTTTGACAACGACTTGCTGAAGTACGCTATCACAATCTCTTGATCACCATTCCGTTGAGACAACACACCGCCAAGTCCTATATCACTTGCGTCTGTGTCAACTATGAATTCCTTGCCCGCATCAGGGTACCCCAAAATAGGTGTTTTGCACAGACGGTTCTTGAGCTCCTAGAATGCAATATCGCAACTTTCATCCCAGCAGAATTGTCGCTTCTCCTCGGTTAGCTTGTGCAGAGGTTTGGCTATATCTGCAAAGTTCTTCACAAATCGCCGATAATAAGAGCACAAACCCAAAAATGATCTAACCTGTGTCTTGTCTTTTGGGACCGGCCACTCCTTGACAGCAGCAATTTTCTCTGGATCCGTGCGGATACCTTCTTCCGACACTACATACCCCAAAAAACTAACTTGCCGTTTGAATAGTGAGCACTTCTTCGCACTCAACTTGAGGTTGGCACTCTGGATCTTTGTGAGCACACGTTCCAGGTTTTGAAGGTGTTCCTCAAACGTACGGCCTACGATGATGATGTCATCCAAATAGACCAGACAGGCATCTCCAATTAGCCCGGTAAGTACAAGCTCCATCAACCTTTCAAATGTTGCTGGAGTATTGCACAATCCAAACGGCATGACTTTAAATTGCCACAGGCCCTTTCCTGTGGAGAATGCAGTTTTCTCCTTGTCCTTAGGGTCAATTTCAACCTGCCAGTAGCCACTTTTCAGATCCAGCGTACTAAACCACTTTACGTCTGTAAGCATGTCCAGCGTGTCATCAATTCTTGGCAAGGGATAGCTGTCCTTCTTTGTAACGTCGTTCAGGCGACGGTAGTCAACACAAAACCGCATGCTGCCGTCCTTCTTCTTTACCATCACCACAGGTGAACACTATGGACTAGATGAAGGTTCAATAACACCATACTTCACCATTCCCTCAATCATGGTTTCCACTTCCTTTTCACGTGCTACAGGCAATCTTCTTGGCCGCTGACGAATAGGCAATTCTTGTCCTGTGTTTATTTTGTGTTGAACTAAGCCAGTCTTTCCTATGTCAGCTTCGTTTGACGAGAAAACATTGGCGTACTTGAGTAACAACTTCTTCGCTTTGACCGTTTCATTCGGGGAGAGAACGCTGCGACAGTCTTCTAAAAGTGTGGTCACTCTAGTTTGTCCATCCTTACTGGGGGTCCCAGTCGATAGATATTCGCACCGACGCAACCAATCCACTTCCTCACTAGTACCAACCAATGTGCCTTTTTCTATAATCTGTTCCTGATCACAAAGGTTCAACACACGTACTCCTGAGATGTCGGTGGTTCTGACCAAGGTTCGAGCCACTTTCCATGGAAGGTCATTGTCTACCCTTTCCACGAGTACACAACGATGAGCTTGCCCAGGACTCCGAGGAAGACTAACCGGCACAATCGTTTCCGATCTCGGCGGAAGAACAATCTTCTTAAGGCTGTACACATTCCCTGGTAACGCCCCTTCCACGAAAAGTTCCTCTTGTCCACATTTCAAAACACCTTGCTTAACGTCGATCTCACAACAATTTTTTTTTTATAGGAGAGGTGGCAAACGAACATGCGGCTCACCTGATGGTAAGTGACTACCGCCGCCCATGAACAACCGCAACACCAGGGGAATTGCAGATGCGTTGCCGGCCTTTTAAAAAGGAGTAGGCTCTTTTCTTGAAGGTCCCTAAGTCGTATCGGTCCGGAAAAATCGCTAGTGGTAAACTATTCCACAAGGAAGTTGTGCGAGGAAGAAAACATCTTCTAAATCGCACAGTGGTGGACCGCCAATCATCCAGATGGTGTGGATAGTATTGGGAGTTTTGCCGCGATGTGCGTTCGTGAAAGTTGGCGGCTGGGATTAATCCGAACAATTCCTCAGAGCACTCCCCATGGTAAATGCGAAAGAAAATGCTAAGAGATGCAACATCTCTTCGCAGTGCCAATGAGTCGAGCCGATCGGAAAGGACTCGGTCGTCGACGATTCGAGCCGCTCTGCGCTGGATGCGGTCAAGTGGAAGAAGCTGGCACTGGGGAGCCCCAGCCCAGAGATGGGAACAGTATTCCATGTGAGGCCGAACCTGCGCCTTGTAAAGTTGCAGGCGTTGAGCCGGCATTAAATACTGTCCCGCTCTGCTGAGCACGCCAAGCTTTTTAGAGGCCAATTTGGCCTTCTCTTCCAAGTGACCACGAAACTGCACGCTACTCGATATGTCGACGCCGAGGATTCCGATACTGGCTGAGGCAACAAGGGGAGTACCTTGAAACTGAGGAGATACGACAAAGGGGTTCTTTTTAGCGGTAAACGCGCAAACTTGTGTCTTCTGAGGATTAAACTGGACTAGATTTAGTCGCCCCCAATCCGAGACTTTGTCCAGCAAAGACTCGACTTCAGACACAAGTTTGTTCCGGTACTCGGTGACATTTTCCCGAGAAATATTGGCACGGCCGGTGTATAGAGCATCACCAGTGCTGTCATCTGCATAGCAATGAATGCTACCAGCTTGCAACATATCATTGATATGCAGAAGAAACAGCGTTGGTGATAGCACGCAGCCTTGTGGAACACCAGCGTTAATAGGCTTGTAGTCGGAGCATGCACCGTCTACAACGACCTTGATGCTCCGATCTGCAAGAAAGCTGGTGATCCAATTGCATAATTTCTCGGGAAGCCCATAGGAAGGGAGCTTCGAAAGAAGCGCTTTGTGCCAAACCCGATCGAAGGCCTTCGCAATGTCCAAACTAACGGCCAATGCCTCCCCATTGGACTCTACTGCCAACGCCCATCTATGAGTTAAGTAGACCAGAAGATCACCAGCTGATCGACCCCGACGAAAACCGTACTGGCGGTCACTAATCAGCTGGTGATCCTCAAGGTACCGCATGAGGTGGCAGTTTACAACGGATTCCATTATTTTGGAGAACAAGGGGGTGATGGCGATAGACCTGTAGTTGGACGGATCTGAGCGGTCGCCTTTTTTAGGGATCGGGTGGACAAAAGCTGTCTTCCATGATTTCGGGACTACGCCTAGGGAGTAGGAGCACCGGAAAAGACGCGTTAGAACCGGTGCCAACTCCGGAGCACACGTCCTCAGCACAATTGGGGGGATTCCGTCAGGCCCACTCGACTTGTGGATGTCAAGGGAGAGGAGTGCTCTGCGAACCGAGCGCTGTGAGAATCGCACATCCGGCATGGAGCACTCACACCGCGGGATGGTCGGCGGTGTGTTCCCCCCGTCATCAACAGTCGAGTTGGACGCAAAAAGGGAGCCTAAAATGTCGGCCTTCTCTTTTGCGTCGTGGGCCAGTGAGTCGTCCTCCCTGTGCAGAGATGGTAGTGATGGCGTACAGAAATTCCCTTGGACAGCCTTGGCGAGAGACCAGAATGCACGGGTTCCCGAAGGAAGGCGAACTAGTTTCTCGCCAATTCTGCCTATGTGCTCTGACTTTGCCTTGGCAATAACTCTTTTGAAGGACCTGGAGGCGAAGTTATACTTCTTTTTGAGTGTGCTGGTGTTTACATCCCGAGTCACCGAAGCCGCAGCCCAGGCTTGATAACACTCCTGCTTACTGCGTAATGCAGTCTTACAGGAGCTACCAAACCAAGGCTGAGATCTGCCTCCGATGGGTACCACAGATGATGGAATAAATAGTTCCATTCCCTGTAGCACTACATCAGTGACAGAGTCAGCAACAGCGCTGGGATCATCCAGCGAGAAGCAAACCCGCCCCCATGGGTAGGAAGCAAAGAAAGACCGCATTCCGTCCCAATCCGCCGACCTGTAATGCCAAACACGGCGAAAACCTGCAGAACGCAACCGCGAGGGGAGCGTGAGTGGCACCACACTCCGGATCAGACAATGGTCCGAAGAGCCAAGAGGGGCATCGACGGAAACCTGATATCCGTCCGGATGAGAGGTCAGGAGAAGGTCCAACAGGGAAGGTGTATGATCCTCAACATCTGGAATCCGCGTAGGCGATGTAACCAGTTGTGTCAGACCATATGCCAAGGCAAAGTCATAAACAGATCTCCCCGCATGATCGGTTAAACGTGAACCGAGCCATTCGGCGTGGTGGGCGTTAAAATCGCCAAGGATCACGATCTCTGCGGATGGGACCTGTTGTAGCAAGGAATCTGTAGCCATTTGGACGTGGTCGATGAGTCGGTCTGTTTCGGCATTACCGCTATGGGACCTATAGAGGCACACGTAGACGCGCGGATGGTCGTCGCTGTCTACGCGTAGCCAAAGGATGGACAGGTCCGAACCTTCAAGACTGCCGAGGCGTCGAGAACAGATGTCCTCTCTGACATACACGCAAACTCCAGCCCAAGGCACAAAGGAGTGCTCCAATTTGTACCCCGGGTAGGAGAGATACGAAGTATCAGCCGGAGAGGACACCTGCGTCTCGGTCAGAAAGAGCAAGGCCGGCTTCGCCGTCTCAAGATGGTAGTGGACGGCGTTTAGGTTCGAGTGAAGTCCCCTGATGTTGCAGAAATTCACGGATAGCGTGGCAGCGGTCGCCTTGGTCTTGTTGCTCATTTTGCCCCGAGCAGTTATTGTGTTGAGCGGAATTTTGCCCCCCCCAGAATACGCGGGGCAGCCTGAGCACCCACGCTCAGGAGTGGAATAGCATGGTCGTGGATGCTCAGCGAGGGATTCTCCAGGGGTACTGGTACCCTCCTGGGGTAGTTTATGACGTAATTCCGCTACCATGTTGATGGGGGGGGGGGGGGGAATTGGGCATCCGGTCACCTGCACTCACCAGACGAAACGCGGAAGCAGAGCTTCCACTTCACGCCGGTATTCTGTGAGGTCGTGGTACTAACCCGGCTCGAGCCGGCCCATACGTGCAACAGCAAAAGCTGCTGCAAGGCTCTACCACCGTTAAAACCGTTCTTCCTCATAAAGTCTAGGCCCAGGATGCAGTCGTCCATTATATCAGCCACGATGACATTATGCAGGTAGATCATGTTGCCTAGCTTCAACTCCATCTCCTTCTCTCCACGGACGGGTATGCGCTGACCGGTGGCTGTCACCAAATTAATGCGTTCGCGGTTGTATGCGGAGTCCCCAAGAAACTGATTTATAAGTTGGGAACTGACAACCGTGCGAGAGGCTCCAGTGTCTATGGTCAGTTTACACGGCTTTCCGTTGACCTCGCCCTTGATTATCAGGCTGTTTCCATCACGGGTTTGTGAGATCGAAATCCTTGGGGCTCTTTTAACATCAGCCAGCACCCGCCAGTTTCCCTGCTGCTGCTGGGCGGTGCTGTCAGCCACATTACCCTCTCGATATCGATCACCTTCCCTTTCTACAGTTCGTTTAGGGCAGCTGGATCGAAGATGGCCCCTTTCCCCACAGCCGTAGCACCTAGGGCTGTAGCCCTTATTGCGGTCCTGAACTGTAGCTGCTGCAACCTCCCTGACGCGGTGGGAACGATGATCCTGCCGCACGGCTTCCACCTCCAGTGCATGGGCCAAGGCGTCCTTGAGCGTCTCGTGGTGCCCGAGCCTCACAGCAGCTCTGACTTCAAGGTCGCGGATGCCGTCGATGAATGTCTGCACCAGGTTCTCTACAATGAGCGCAGGTACAGACTGGTACGCTTTTCGAACCACCTTCTCCACCTCAAGGGCCCACTGCTGCAGGTTTTCGTTACTGCGTTGCACGCGATCTTTGAGCTGCGCACGAAAGACGTGTTCCAGGTGAGCATCGCCATATCTCGCCTCCAATGCCTCAAGGAGCTGCTCGTAAGTCACTTCCTTACCGAGAGCTTCCAGAACAGTTAAGGCCTGGTCGCGTAGGCCTAGGGTGAGAGCAGTCATGGCCTGACTTTTATTCCAGCCGTTCGCTTTCATGA